GGGAAAGGGCTCATGTGCACTAAAACAGCACTGGAGCTTTACAATGCAGCAGAAGCCCAGCACACAACAAAAAGGGGCGTCTTTAGGACATGCAATCTGGGTTAAGGAACCACCTGATTTAGGAAAAGCCACCCCGCAACACTGTTTCCAGACCTTTTAGAGCACCGAAGTCGCTGCCACATAAGTCCGATGTGTTAACAACCTAATCCTTTGTGATATCAAGGCTTACCAACAAAAAAAAAATACACAAATCCAGTCTTCAGTGCAGTGCAAAACATTGGTTTGGGAATAGTAAACAGCAAAAAACCATTACTATACAAAGTGACAGTCTAGCAAACCAAATCTGTGTACTTTTCAAGGTATCCTCAGAGATTCACCACATTACTGCACATTTGATTTGTATTTTTCAAAGAAATAGTAGAGGCATCACAGCTCCTAACCAAAATGCCCAATGGGACAGCAATATTTCTTAGGCTAACATGAGTTGCAGCTTATGGGTAAACGCAGCAGTTTATGGGTAAATGAAGGGAAAAGAACTGAAAATGGCTAGCTGCCATCTATCACCAATCAGTGAGAATTACCTGGCAACATGATAACAAATCTCCATGCAACTCTGTGGTACCTTCTTCAAGACCCTAATACAAACACAAATGAGTAGCAAGAGACTCCGGGGAACTTATGAAGCTGGAAGGCTGAGTCAACCCCTGAATGCAAAAAACAGACTAGGCAGGAAAGACTCCTTGGATAAATCTGACACCTGTTATTAGACCAACTCAAATATTGGAAAAAATTCTTCTTAGCAAAGCTTTTGGGCACACCTCGCCTTCATCAGGCTGAGGAAGCATCTGCACATGGTCTGTGCTCTTCCAGGATGGAGCACACAGACCATCTGCACATGCTTCCCCAGCCTGACAAAGGGTATTTGAGCCTGAAAGCTTGCTAAGAAGAATGTTTCCAGCTATTTGAGTCAGCCTAATAAAAGACATCGGTTTTACCCAAAGAATCGTGTCTGCCTGTGTCCTTAGACCGACACGGCTACAACCTATACGCCTAAAACAGACTAGCCCTCTGTGTGACTTCATGCATTACTGTACGATTCACCTATTTAATTTTGCGAACTTCACAGTGGAACAGTTAGACTTATATACTACGAAGATAAAAGTTTTCTCAGTTACCAGTCAGACCCCACACCTCCATTCACGTTGTGTTCCTTCATGTGTTGCCCAGAACAGGAAGAACATTCTGAACTGATCTTTTGGCATTGATATGCATTTGGGGATCCAACCATGACAACAACAGCCACAACTCTAATGAACTCAGCTTTACTTTCACTTATATCATGTTTGCTTCCCATTTAATACTCAGGCAGCAGCAGTATCCTTCGAATAATGGATTTTCACCGAAACGCTGTGCAATATACACCTGAGTCTTCTGCTCAGAGGATTTTCAGGATTATCTTGAGGAAAGAATGAAGCTCTAAAAATATCCATGCAATCATTCTGGCCCTCTAAAAGCATGGAAGTCGAAAGATTCCAGTTAATGTTCAACTGAAGGCCTTGCATATGCAAGTTTAAAGCTTTTCATATTAGCCTGTTTCCAACAGAGGACATGAAGGTAGTTGAGGAATGGGAAGACCCTGCTATCCTAAAGGACTCAAACTGTTCAAGACAGTCTGGATATTAGTCTTACAGAACAGGCACCTATTTCATTTGTCTAATCCAGGACTGCACCTATTCAACTAAATTTACAGGTCATTTTTCAATCAGGGCTCACAGTAGAGGTGATATCTTTGATTAGACCAGCAAGTTGGTCTAATAAAAGATATCACCTCTACCATGAGCCCAGATTGCTTTTTCCTCTAGACCAATACGGCTACAACCTGGATACCGGAGGTCATTTTTCAAACACTTGAAAGGAATTTTAAAAATTCAAATATTTTCATTGGAGAATATATGGCAATTCTGTCACCTGCAAGCAGAACAGCCAGGTAGAAGGAAGACAGACAGCACTCGGCGAGTAAAATTCTGCAGGATACGAAGACAAGCGATAAAGCAATACCTGTTTACTTTGTTTGAGTTATTCCACATTACGAGTTTGTTTGAAGGCTGGAATCATTGTGAGATTTGGAGTTGGAACAAAATAAGCTCTCCAGGCCCCACAAAATAAAGCAGGGGTGGGCAATTACTTGGGCTGGAGAGCCACTTAAGGAGTTCTGGCGAGCTGTGGTGGGCCAGGCACAGGGTGCGCTGACCCTCCCTGGAGTGGCGGCAGCAGGGATGGGGGAAGCAATTGACCCTAACTGGCCTCAGTCCCATCTACTCGACCCCACCGCTGACCTCAGGCCCATCTACCACACCCACCGCTGAGGGCACCAGATGGAGCAGGAGGGTGGGGGTCTCCATGAAGACTGGCCAGGGACCCCTGCGGGCAAGGCATGCTCAGCTGGGAAGATGGGACGGGGAAGCAGGCAGGCAGAGAGCAGCATCCAGGAGTGGGATGGGTGGATGGGGTCAGGATCGCAGGGCAGTACCAGTGCAGGGCCGTGAGCTAGGGCCTGGGGCAGAGCCATGGTCTGTTCCCCGCACATCCCTGTGATGAGTGCCCATTCCGCAGGCAAAGACGTGCGGGTAGTAGATCACGGCTCTGCCCCAGGCCCCAGCCCTGCAGACACCATCCTGCAATCCCAGCCCTATCGCCACCCAACCTGCTCCCAGACACTGCTCCTCACCCCACCCGTGGCCCCATCTCATCCGTCCAGCTGAGCCCACCCACCATGGAGACCCCGCCTGCCCACCAACTCCTTCCAGTGCCCATTGTGGCGGGTGCGGGATGGACTGGCAACAGCAGCCACACAGAGGGGGCTGCCAAGAAGCTGAGTCTGGCCACCATGCTGCCATGCCACATGTCCGGGGGTGGCAGAACCGGCTGCATGCACTATGGCCTGGCCTTCTCCCTGTGCTTGGGCTGAGCAGGAGACCTCTGTGGGTTGGACAGAACCCCTTGGCAGGCCGGATCAGGCCAAGCAAAATCACTCAATGCCAATACATGAAGCCAGGTTGGTAGAAAACAAAGGGCCACAACTCCCATTCTGGGTTAGTAACCTGGGCAAGACACAGGCCTTCCAAAGTAATGGGAGCTAGTTATTTCCCACCCCAAGTGTGTGGTCTAATGTTTTAGTCATAAACTAGTTAAAAGATAAAATGTTTTAATCTGCTAAAGCCTAAGGTCAAGGTCTGGAACGGGCTCCCAAGGGAGGTGGTGCTCTCCCCTACCCTGGGGGTCTTCAAGAGGAGGTTAGATAACCATCTAGCCGGGGTCATCTGAACCCAGCCCTCTTTCCTGCCTATGCAGGGGGTCGGACTTGATGATCTATTGAGGTCCCTTCCGACCCTAACATCTATGAATCTAAGTCATAATTTATCTAAGATAGGGTTATATAAAGTTCTTACGCTCATTAGTAAAGCCATATGTGAACATGCATAGAGGAGGATGTTGTAAAAGGCTCTTTCTGTGCAAGCCATAGAGATAAACATTGGACTGACCTTCCATTGCTCCTTGGGAAGCAGCTTCACCACCACAATGTCCCCATTCAGGGCTCTGTTGCGAGCGACCACTCCATCGATAAAGATATCGCGTGCCCCATCCTACAGGAAGAGGACAAAGAGAATAAATACCAGACCAAAAAGCCAAGGTTCAACTTGCTACAAGCGTTTTAAAAAAGCTCTGCTGTCATGGCAAACAGAACGCACGTGCTGGAGAGACGGAGGCACTGCAGGTGTACACAGAAGCTAAACTTCACCAAGACATCCTCCAACAGAGAGTCTCTCTTAGCAAATCGGCTCCTGTGTGCATGACAGCACAGTAGTTCCACACAGTGTATGAGACAAAGCCAAGCCCTCAAAATGTATCATCTGCAACCTCAGCATAATTCCCCTCCAGCGACTCTTAGGAAAGGGGAGCTCTATCCCTCAAGTTGCCGCTCTTTGAATAAAGTGCTAGGGAATCCTGAAAAGCAGTGTTAAAAGGTGAACGAGAACTTCCCATGCTTCCCGGTCCTGGGTAAGAAAGCTGCAAGCGGCATGCCATGGACAAGACCCATGGAGGTCAGAAAGAAGTCATGCTCTGAAGGCATTTGGTACTTTGAAAAGAGAGACAACCAATTTCATTTTCCCCCCCATATTTGACATAAAATCGGTTTGAAATGTTGACCTGGCAATGCCGACTCAGACCAGACCTTCTGCTGGAACAGTCATGTTAAAACCCGTCCTCTCTGCATTCACGCCTTTACGTAACAGCTGCTGCTGCGCTACACACCATGATCAGCTGATGTTCTGCTCACAATCTAGATTTGGCTAGGGGCTTTTCCCCAGAAGGGGTGAAGAAAGGTAAAGCAGTCTAAAGATTTCGTGACAGACTTGCAAGGTTTTTGCAGGGGACAGTTTACTTTTACGCACTCCATTTTGTCTGGTTACTCTCCAGTGCTCCTGATGCCTTTATTTCTGCTTCCGTGTAATTCAACACAGGCTATTCTGCATGGCTACTTGTAACGCACCTTGAACACGCAAAACAATAAGCATTCAGTATTAATCTGTGCACTCAGAAATATTTTCTAATCACGCAGCTTCATTCTCTTTCCTAACCAAGTTAACCGTGGGTTTCTTTTGGCTGTAATGTTTTTTTAATTATTTTTCATAACCACAAGAAAAGCCAACTTCAAGGGAACTAAAATCTTAGTCACCGTTTTTCTTTCTTTCCTTCTTTTTTTTTGGGTGGTTCTTCAACCACTTGCTCACAATTCTGTAGCACTTGGTAAAAGCAATTGCCATTTTATCCAGTCTCAAACCTAAGAGGATTTAACATCACAGAAGTATTCTGCCCTGCTTAGGCTCCAAAACGGTGAAACAAAGAGAGGTGGTGCGCTGCCATTATGAACCGAAAGCCATTCTCCAAGACAGCAAATGAGTCTTAGAAGAAAAAGCAGCAGCAGCAGCTCAACAGCTGTGCAAAAGCTGCCTCCCATGACAAGATGCAGAAAAATTGCAAAGCTTTTTGGACCAACATAATTCAAATTAGAAACTGCTCTTCTAAGACGACCAGATTTTTTACATATGGTCCTCACTCTTTTTTCCTGCCCCCATCAGCTCCTGAACGAAATACCATATATACAAAAAGGAAAATTCAACGGCCCCTCTTAAGATAAATGCCTTTTTTTTTTTTTTTAAAGTAGCTATACAACTACTGCCCTAACACTGCTTCGTTGCAGGACAGGGTTGGTAAATGTGCTAATGTGGTTGCTCCATACATTTTTTATTAAACTTTGCAAGAAAATATAAAAGCAGCTTCTGTGTCTGCCAGCAGCACCACTGGTTTGTACTATGCCAACTAATTAAAATTATGCTGCCAGACAAAGCAAGGAGGGATTTTTTTGTTTTGATTTGCCGCCAAAAGTTCTCATCTTAAACAATTTCTTCAGGTATACGTGTTTCTACATGGGTTAGTTCAGTGCCTCCTAGAGAGGCTGTAATTAAAAACTGGCCTAAAGCTTTTTCCTGCATAAGCCACTTAAACTGCCATAAAAAAATGTAACATTTGTTTACCTGGAGTCTCAGATTTGTGGTCCAAGGGGTTAACTTGCACATTTCCAAAAATGTCTGGGATTTCCCTTTTATTGTCTCTTTCCACCATACCAACTCTTCCCCCCCACGACAGTCAGTTGCTGTTTCATGTTGCTAATGTTATTAAAATGGGATTCAGCTGCAAAACAATATTGGGATAACTTAAAAGGTCTACACTTATGCCTAGGTGTTTTGTTTACGCTGTATTAGCTGCGGGGCACATTACTGCAGGCGATCGGACCCTCCGCATCCGTCTCCCATTCGGCAAGGTATTTTACGACTATGTCGCCTTCTCAGAAAACAGTAGTAGTCTTTTATATTTCTATCTGACAGCAGGGAGATTTGCGGTCATTTTAATCTCTTCTGGAAATGAGTTCCACAGTCACGGGCCGGCCGCCAAGACAGCTCCATCCCTCACGTTCAGAGACTCCCTCCTGCAGTTGACAATTCCACCGTTCACGAGAGCACAGCTACTGCGAGCGGCAAAGACTGCAGAGCGCGGAGCGGAGTTCGTCCCGTGGCACGTGTTAAAGATCAGGTCAAGCCTGGACCCTTCCCTCTGCCTTCAACGCGAGACAGTACACAATAGCAGCAGTTGGGACAACGTACAACCAGAGACGCATGGTGTTTGAGGTGACCAGCTGCTACATACGAACCAAATGAAATCATAGCCAAGGCAGGGGCTGACGAACAGGGGGCTCTGCCCTGGCCAGCTGCAAGGGAAGGATGGAGATTTTTCACAGCTGTAGCTCTTTCAGCATCTGGCAGCAACGGAGAGTCTTGTGGGACGACAGGGCTGTGAGCCATCCCGACGCCCTTGATGGAGGGTAACATTATGCTAACGATGCGTCCCCCGGCACATAGCTTCACAGTGACCATCTCCACCTTGGGCAGAGTCCTCTTTGTCCAGGTGCTGATGCTCCTTCCCAGTGGGAGATAGAGTGGCTGGTGCGATTTAACCCACAAAGGGAAGGAAACCGCAAACGATGGCCAGAATATCCTTAACTAACCTGCAGTGCCCATGCGTTGCAGTACACAAGGCAACAAGCCCGCTGCCTGACTATACCAGGCAATCACTAAGCACCAGGGGGAATGAAGGATAGAGCTTCAAATTCAGCTGCTCCTGTGTTTGCAGCTGGACTTAGTATTTTGCCCGTGTTGTGTGGTTTATGGGAATATGTTTAACAGTCTACACCTACCTTACTTGAGAAAGCAAAAAGAAAGGACTACCACTCCTTTCCCTGTTCCACACTAAAGCCTACTTTACAAAAGCACTGCAAACAGCTGTGCAAAAGTACCTCCTCCCCCAGTGAATTTTAAGTCTCTCTCTCATTGCATCACACTACGTAATGCAAGTCCTTCCCTGAGGAAAGAGGCTAAAGTCATCATCATCAAGGACTGAGCAACAACGGATGTGAGCAGAGATCTCTGGATTTTCAATCCAGGCTCAGAAAAAAATTATGCCCAGAAGCAGGAGAGACATCAATGCCACCAGCACTTCACTGCCTGAGACGGAGCAGGGGGGGTTTCTACTCTACACCCAAACAAAACCTCGTTTCAAGAGGCAACTCACTTCCACATCAACACCAAAGTGTTGATTCAGACACTTCCAAATGATTGCCCTCGGCTACACCAGCTGCCAGGTAACCTTGACTAATTGAGGGCCTCGAAAGCACAAGTGTCTTTCTATTCTGGTGACAAAGGAAGGGGGAGAGCGGCACAGAATGGGCCTATGTGACGGCAGCAAACCCCAAGCCAAACTCGAAACACTTTGCACAGGCAAAGGCACCTTAAAAAGAATCACACGCGTTACTTTTGGACCGACTTTTCAAATTAGCTCATGCAGCAGATTGAAAGTGGAGAGCATATTTGTTTAGGGAAGATTAGCTTGAATCAGTGGAAAATCTATAAACCCTCTGTAGCCATAAACCAAGGGTTTACAATTACACTAACTGGTGGTCCTCAAACCTGGGTTCAGCTGGCTCCAGTAAGCTAGAAGGACACATCCCCCCTTTGATGAAAGTTCAGACACATTCAACAGCACTTTACAGTATTAAAAACAAGTTGCTGCTTGGGGTTTTCTGTCTTTCCCTCAGATTACGTGCATATCTTCAGGATTTATTTAAATTGATTCCCAACTGATTTATCTTGCTACACACATCTAAATGACATTTCATGTATAGTATCACTGCTATCTTAATAAACATTCACTTAAGCACTCCAGAGTGTTACGCTTAGCAGAGATGTAAATTATACCTACCGGAGATGGAATGAAGGCTTCGTGGTATTTCTTTGGATTGATCCTCAATGGGCCCTTAAGAAAAAGAGGGTTCAAGATTATGTCTAGAATATATAATTTTTTTAAAAGAATATTAGTTCAGTTGAGCAGTTATAAGCACTGTATTTACAGGGAAACACGGAAGATGCATCTGCATTTCCATGATCTCTCTCAAGTTTTGATATTAGTGCCTTCACATCTAGGCAACGTCCAACCACAACGCAATGGATGGGCTTATTCAGATGCATCAGCTTTCTCCGATTCCCACCTTCGATGGAGGCAGACGTCAGGGTTTCAGATGCCATTCTTTCCAACCTTACACCACAAAGAAAGGCACTTTCAGAAAATGCTTCTCAAGAGTTAATTTTTCTGTTGACCAGTATTTTTTCCTCCTTTTAAAGTATTTAAGTTTTAAGGGAAATACCTAGCCTCTCAGTTACGCAGTCTTTCCCAACAGCCGTAGCAACACTGCATTAAACCTGGTCACTGTGTTGGATCAAGAATCTTTACTGTTGGATTTGTACTGCAGTAGCACCTTGGAGCCCCGGTTGGGGACCATGCCTCCACCAGGACTGGGACTGTACAAAAAGATGAATGCACCTGCCCAAATCTAAGTTACCTGCCAGAAGACAGCAAGCTGCATTACAACCACAACATGTGCAACATGACTGAGCGCGAGTTCGAGATACAGGCAACCGCTGCTTAGCGCTATAATGCTCGTTCTACATTGAGACCAGATTCCACTTGGCGCTCAGCGAGTTTCATTATAACGCTCACGGGCATTGTCTAGCTGGCAGCAGGTTTTGCTTAACATTACTCCGTTTAACACACAGTTTTTCGGGATCCAATTAAGCGTGCTACGCGGGGGCTGCCCGTATTATGATAGACTGTGATCTTTACTTCGCTGCTCCCGGACCGGCAACTGCTACTCCCCAATGTGCCAGATTTATGAGGTTATACTGTATTTTCAGGCAAAGGGTGTTATCAGGCAAGTAGTAATTTAAACATATTGCGACAAGTTAATTATTCCATATCTCCCTGCGTTCAGGTTTTATTGTGCACCCAAGGTCAAATCTATCAGATACATTTTTTACTGACATGCAAAATGCTCATCCCAAAAGCAGATACCTTCTCCAGGGCCACCCTTTCCCATGGCTCTAAAACATGTCACCATAAAAAACAGATAGTGGTTAGAGGGGAACTTTCTGAAGGTTTTATCTGCTGCTACTATCCAATCAGCAGAAATCACCCAGGCCCTCCTTCATCCCTAGCACCTGAGCATGGTGAGCTCAACAGCCACAAACCCTATACTATATTCAGGAATTGAAATAATAGGAATAGAACAGTCCCCTACTTTTCATCTGGTTTTGGTGAGACACTCTTTGCTTTTAAAAGACTTCATTTCGTTATATGTATAAGATGCATTTATGTTAACACACACACACACACACACACACACACACACACACTTTTGAAGGCAGAAGGGAAAGAAAAGAAGAAATGTTTCCTCATTCAGTGGCTCCTGCCAGAAGGTGAAAGCCTTCCTGGAGTCCAGCTGTGCCTTTGAACTGCTCACTAACACGGACAGTAGCAATAACTCCATGGCAAAGATATTTTAAAGGGAAAACTGAAAAGCTATTTCTAAAATAAAAGCATTTGGAAAAAGAAAAAAAAGCATTTGAGATCCAAAAGGCTTAAATCAAGTTTAGCCACATTTAAATTTAAATAAGTGCAAACACACTTAGAGGACATGCACTTTCTTCTTCCTTATTTGCCAAGTCAGGATTCGATTCCCCTACAACAGGTCATACTGTCATTAACATAAAGGAAGCATTTCTGTTCCTTGTATTCAGGCACGTTAGCTACTAGAGAAGAAAGGAAAGTGCAAACAGCAGATTATGGGCTGTTTTAGAATAATGAATATTCAATTGCAAGAGTGTCACAGGAACTGCAATCAGACAGATGCAGTTAAAACTAAATAAATGTTAGTCTTAGGAAAAAATGAAATAGCATTATAGCTAAATAGCTGCATTAGTAAATGCTTTTCCTTTTGAATGAAACGTTAAAGCTTTCTTCATCCATATATTTGGGATAATGTCTTCAATTTGTTATATAAAATCTATTCCATCTGCATTCAAACTTCTGTGTTTAGCAATGACAGGAATCTCTTATGGGAACTGCTTCCTTATAAATTCACTGCAGCATATTATTTTATTTTATTTATGTATTCTGGGAAGCACTCTGACTCCAGGAAAATAAGCTGAACACATCTGCAACTTCTGCTGGCTCAAGGAAGAATTTGATAGTTTGTGAAAGGTTTTTGGTTTTTTTGAAAGTTTAAAACCATCAGCACCAGGAGGGGGGAAAAAAAAAATCAGCTCTATAATCATGCGTTATATCCTTTTGACCTGATTTGTGCTCTTTGCTGCAAAATGTCTTATTTGCTGCAGAATTAACACTCTGACTAGTTACTTATTTCCTTGGGTTGTTTGTACCATGGAAGACGTCAAAGAGAGCGCCCTTTGAGAGAGCCATGCTCAAGCAAAATGAGACCTAGCACACTGTAAATGTGCGAGGAATAGCCTCCTTTAGGATTGGAACCCATTTCAATGATGAAAACGCACAAAAAAAAGCTTGTTTCTATAGTCAGTTATCAAATCACCAGCCTGATAAGCTGGAAACAGGAGGTGGCTATTGAGAGCCACACAAGGGAGAACGTGTTGGCAGGGGGGTGGGGGGGAAATAGTGTTTAGCAAAGAATACATCTCCCGGGGGTACAGTGCAGTGCCACGGAGAGACCCAAACTACCTGCATGGACTGGAAAAAGAGCGGCCACATTAGTGCCTGCATCTAGCCTCCGAGCTTGTACATCCAGAGCAAAGGAGGAACACTCTTTGTCATGCTAAAGGACCTCCCTGAGATAGTCAGGCCCAGGCTGCTGCAGGTAGTCACAGGCCAGTATCTCATGTACAAATGGAAAATCATGTTTTGCACACGTGGCCAATAAGGCACCTAACTGGGTCTGTACACACCAGCACTCGATTTGCACGTGATGGCTGAATATCACCGCTGCAAGGCCTCTTTACATTTTATACACATTATATAATTACCCCCAGCCTCAAAACTGATGTCAAGTAGCATTAAAATACTTTTTCTCTCGATCTTTCCCTTAAGCGAGGAACTCCCAAGGTTTATCTTCGAAAGCAGATGGGTCCCGTTATCTGTGCCTATGAAAATCCTATTTACAATGTAGTACATTTCACGCTGTGATATCATATCTGGAACCAGTCGCTCTCCCCATCTGCAGAGAACAACTGTTCTCATGTGTGTATTCGGGGCCGAGGTGCTGGCTGCAGGGTCTCATGATGTCACACACTAGGGCTGTATTATTTTACAATAACTTGCAAACAATAGCTGCTATATTTATCAGTGTTTTTATGTCAGCCCAGCCAGGATTTTGGGAGGGGAAAGGTTTGCAGCCAGGTTTCTAAAACATTTTCTGATAGTTCAGGTCAACCTCTCACACCCACCAAAACGAGGAATTACAATTTGTTACACTCCTCACAGGTCGCAGAAGACAGGATTTCCCAACTCTCTCTCTTCTTGCAGAACCAGAGCAACAGATGCTTCGACAAGACGTCAAGCATCCCAAATCAAGCAGCTCATAACATGCGTGCCCAGATTGGTTTGTGATGTAAAAACACAGAAAAAGGGCAGTTCTTAAGTATCGAGCCAGTGCTGAGAACAGCTTTAAAAACAGCCCACAACTACATAAAGAAATCAGCTTTCTCCCCCCCTCAAGTCTTCATGCTTCTGAAGAAACTGCTTTCTTTACGGGAAGTTATTCTGATGACAGTTCAGGGCCTCTGTAAATCAGCAGGAGCATTTACCCATCTAGACCCCGACGCCCAAGAAGTTTTGCTCGCTTTGCTCACCCAGCCCTTGACCTAGACTGGTGAATAATGTTGGCAAGGGTTCATAGACAGTAAGGGCTGGAAGGGACCTTGTGAGATCATCGAGTCCAGCCCCCTAAGATGCTGAAAGGCCCTTTTGCTCATGTTGTTTAATAGACAGCCAGCATCCATTAGCTGACTCTAAACAGTTTGTTCAACTACTCAATTAAAGCAACAGCGTGACAAATCAATACGGGAGTCCCCAGACAGGTGTGATCATGGGACAGACTCCAACAAATCCTTTCCATAAGAACAGACAACTGAATTCAGATACCTGAAATTCATACAGTCTCTGTTT